GGGCCCGACTACGTAGGCGCCTAACGATCGGGTGGTCGCGTCAAACGCTTCAGAAGCGGAATCCGTCAAGCGGAAGCCGTATTTCACACGAGAGGCTAGAACCAAACGAGTATATGACCGCATGAGACTCGCCCTGTGGGCAACCTCCATCCGCTGCACCTGATCTTCGTCGAGGTGATTGAAAATAATACCACTTCTCCCGGAAGTCGAGATGTCGGGGAACGGACACGGTGTCCGGAAGGTTCGACAGGGCTCACGTCGCGTCGTTGGCGCACCTCACCCTCCTTGTCTTTCCATGAGTATTCGACTTGTAGTCGACTTCCTCCGGTTCCTCGACGAAAAATCCGTCGCCCATGGCGGGCGCGGTGTGAGGCTCCCAGACGCCGAGGGCTTGGGATGTGATCCCTTGAAGCCGCGGAAGTACTATCCGGGGATGCACCGCGTGCAGAAGACGATGAAGGGCTCTGTCCACGGGCGCCCACGAAACCAGCTAAGCTGGGTGTTTTTCGTGTCATAGAAACAGGGCTCATTGAGCGGAGAATATGTGAAGATCGTCTTCAATACGTTACGTTTTCTCAGACACGCGAGCATCGCATGAGGCGACAATCAAATGTGATTTGTGGGAATTCACAATTTTGATGGGGAAAGTGTATCGAAGTTATACTTCCCTGATATACAAAGGTGGGTCGCACAAGTTGGTGTAATCACACAATGGTGTGGCTACGCCGTAACAAGAAGCCATTATGTGGCGGGGCTGCCAGTAGTTATGCATACTAATTAGGTTTTCTATTGAATTAGGAAAACCTAAGGTCTTAGATATAGGCGGCTCTGTCGCAAATAAACCAAATAAGTACAATTTCAATTTTGAACGGAAGAGTATCCATGCCGTGGTTAAGCTTTTAGGTTAACAAATTGCGATCAGCTACACTCGTACTGGTTCTGGTCTAGAACGTAAGGTCGGTGACCTTGGTAAGCTTTCTCTAAGCAAAGAGCTACGGCAGCCCCGCTGCAACATTGACTTATGAGCTCATTTTGTGCGAGGCCACATCGAAGCAGGACGCATAAAGCTAGCGCACGTGCCCCCGGAGGGTTAACTACTCGACTTCTTAACTGGGGCGATGCCGACGCCACGCCCGTTGCTTCTAAATCGGAAGAGCGGGATCTACGATGTACAAGTTGAGGGGGTTGTTGGGGTGTTGTGACGCAACGTCACAGACTTGTGTACGGTTCACGAAGGCACCTTGCAAGTTGAAAGATGATATCTTCTCGAAGATCAAGTTTGCAAGGTTATAGAGCATGCGCTAGCTAGATAGGGTTCTGGTAGCTAATTCAAATTCTATTCTGCACTGCGAATCGTTACACGAGCCAGAATGTCTCTTTGCCTTATCACAAACTGTAACGGGATTACACATCCCTGGTAACAGGGGTGTGTTTCACACCAGATAGACATGGTGTGACCACACCCAAACAAGAATACGGTACGGGGCTGGATAGCCAGTAGTAATAGATGTATTTCGATTTAGTATACATATTCAGGAAAATCTATGCGCTTAAAATTAGGCGGCTTTGCCGCAGATAAAATTAAATAGTCAGTTTTGGATCTAAACGGTAGAGTTAATAAGCCCTGGGTTAAGGTTGTAATTACTCTTGGAGTAGGCGGATTGCGATCCGCTAAACTCATACTTGTTCTAAGTATAGATCGAAAGGTCGGTGACCTAACTTACGCTTCCTCTAAGCGCAATGCTACGGCAGCGCCGCTGCACAAACAACTTACATTACTATTAATGTTCTTTTTTCACGTTGTTAATTCGTGTGGTCGCACATATATATATTATAATGACCACACGAATCAACTTCAACAATTTATACATATATTAAGCAAAGCAATCACTGCATCACCGTAAACTAAACTCAATTCGCTCAATTCCATTTATAAACACTAAGCAAATTATCCGCAACTTGATCCATATTCGGAAACTGTGCTGGTCTCCGAGGTATGATTGTAATAATGCGATTTCGACATTTGTTCGAAATTTGCGGCGATCCGCGCCCTTGCAGTGTCAGCAGCTGAAGCATGGATCGCTTCATGGAAGCAAACCGCGCAAAATGTAACTTTGCGGAGAGCTAAGAGCAAGTCGGGGGTCACGAAGCTCACTTTGCGCTGAATTTTGCAGCTATTGCACACATAACCAAAGCATAGCTTGCACGATGCGTCAGTCTTACCAAAATCGCCCAATCTTCGATTCGTTATGTGAGCATTGCATGTCACACAGACTGGCTCACGATTGGGAGTTCCAAGTTCCTTGGCTTCAGCGTATCGCGTTTCAAGCGTGAGCTGAAGCTTTTTCATTTGGCCACAGTAAGCGTACTTAAGTGTCGATAGAAAAGTGTTAGCAATAACAGATATCACGAATCTACGGACCTTCTCACCACCAGGATCTATGATTCCCGTAGCAAAGACCTCACATGCATTCGGTCGCACTTGGCGAAAAAAACTGCAGTTTGACAGGTTTGCACGGACGCGATTCGGTAGATTGTGAGTCACTGGAAAGTCGACCGAGTGTAGAAGTTGATAACCGACCCTGTCACCACTCTCGAGATGTACAAAACCGGTTACTTCTAAGTAAATGTAGTCACGGTTTCGCACCAACCCCATTGCCTGAAGTGGAATATCCATTTCCATCCATTTGACGACCATCGAGTTGAACGGGTTCTCGACAGTAGGCTCGACAATGTTTGCGAGCACGGCAGCACCACTGATATCCTCCACATAGGAGGCTCTGATGCGCATCATTTCTAGCGTTGGACTTACCACACCAAACATAAGGTCATCCAGCTCTCCAACAGTAGTGCCGACGCCGAGCATAGATGACAGTTCTGATGAAGGCTTTGAAGTTTGTACTGCATGACTGTGCGAATTGCTCGACCTCTCTTGGTACACCTTAATACTTTCTCGACCCTTTACCAGTTTCCAGTGGTTTAAATCAATCTGACCTTTGTCTTCGGTGAGAAAATGCTCGTATCGCGCTAAATTTGAGTCGAGAATAGTACTGGTAAGCTCGTGCAGATTGTTGAGGTCGCCGGGAGTCAGCACGAGCTCGCCAAACGGATTGATGATAAATCTTCCTTTTACCATCACGTTGATTCCACCAGTTGACGGGATGGAGAGAAAGAAAGAATGAGCTTCTTCACCCAATTTCAAGATTAGGATGTCGCAATAGTTTTATCGAGTCAAGCCTAATAAAGCTCACATCACTGAAAGGCCGATCTAACTCAAATCGCAGATGGTCCAAATTTATCCTTCTGTTTTCGTGGGTCTCCTTATGATTTGCCTACAAAAAATCGTTATGCAGAGAATATTGAAAAACTGTTGCTCTTAGGCGATGATGCTCTCATAAAACCGCATGTAATTTTGGATGTTAAGAGAGCGAGCATAATATGTTGTGAAACACGCATTTCATATAAATTTTTTAACGTGTTGCTTTGTTAAATTCCATGAGTAGGTAAAGCAAAGACACATCAAGAATATCTTGATTTTTACAATTCGTCTGGTCGTTTCTAATGGGAGATGATTATCGTTTTAATTCACGCGCTGGAAAATTTTTGTTTTCGGCTCAAGACGCGCTTAAACTTTTTATCTGTCCACCTATTGTGAAATATACGAGCTCGAGACTTGCGCACAAACAAATTTTAAATCTTAAGCTACGCGATTCCCTCATCAAAAAGGCTAGCACAACTATGCGTATTATTTCGCATCAAATTACACACAACTCCAGCCTGGATGTTAGTAAAATAAAAAGACCAAAAAAATTAGTAAGAATGGTAGTTGTTTGATAATCTTGAAAAGAGAAGTCGCGACCAAAGGACCGGGGTGGCGTTGCAGTGCGTCCTTGCATATATGAGGGCATTCTTAGCCATTTCTTGGTTTATGTCGCGACGTACAGCGTTGAAAGCACTTGTGTGAAAAAAGTCCAAAGTTTCCTTTTGGTTAAAATACAGTACTTACATAGAGCAAGTGTTGGAAGAATCCTGAAAACGATTTTTTATGAAAACATGGCCCGTCGCTACGGTACTAAAAAATTTCGATATAGGCCAATCAAATTTTGATATGGACCTAACTTATAAGCATTTGATGTAATAATATCTCTAAATTGTAAGAGTGATGATTTTTGTATAATAGAGCTTAGGTATCATATCGACAAATAAAAACGAATCTACTTCACACGAGACACAAATTTATACTGACTTAGCTGTCGCAATGAGCCCTTTTGAACCATTGCTCGAATCGCGCGTTGAATCGCATTGGGATTATAGCCTTGGGCCTCGAGACGGCTATACAAGGCGCTCGTTTCGACCCGCGTCCCGATGCGTAGCGTGCGGTTTATGCTTTGTTCCACTTCCTGAGCTTTTTCATGCAAGCCGCCAAACAGTCCTTGGGTACCACCGTCTTTTGCTGCATTCATTGTACTCACGCTAAATAGGCGAATTGCTTCTCGAACGTGCTCGCGTGTGGCTTCGTTTTGAAGGTGCATTTTTGCCAACGACTCTGCGATTCGCACAAGAGCTTCAAGTTGACGCACTGTGACAGGAATTGTCGTCTCAACGCCTTGAGTACGCCGCACGTCGTCTCGTACACCCACGTAATAGTCTTGAAGTGATTGAGCTGCTTCAGCTGACAACTGTGGAGCACATCGAGTTCGACAATACGTGATGAATTTCTTAAGCAACCAAGGTTCAAATTCGCCACCGCTTGAGTAATTTTCGCTGGCATGAGTGTTTTCAACGACGGGTGCGACTGCGTTTGTGTGCATTCGCACCACGTGTGCAGCCATTCGTCGATCTCTAGCATCGTCTTGTATATCTCGAACTATAAATATCATGTCGAATCGACTGAGAATCGTGCTCATAAGATCAATATTCTCAGAAGCCGACCGCATATCATCATATCGACCAAACACGGGGTTGGCCGCAGCCAAAACACTTGCACGCGAGTTTAAAATAGTTGTGATACCAGCTTTTGCAATAGAAATTGTTTGTTGCTCCATTGCTTCATGAATTGCTACACGATCGGACTCTCTCATTTTATCAAATTCATCAATGCACACAACACCACCATCGGCAAGAACCATGGCACCCCCCTCAAGGTAAAACTCTCCCTTAGAATCACGAATCACAGAAGCAGTTAATCCAGCTGCACTGCTGCCTTTACCTGATGTATACACACCAACCGGGGCAATTTTTTCAGTAAATTTCAGAAATTGGGATTTAGCCGTGCTTGGATCTCCCAAAAGTAATACATTAATATCGCCACGCAAAATCATGCCATCAGGCAACCGTTTGCGAGATCCGCCTACAAGTAAACACGCAATCGCTTTTTTCATGTTTACCGTGTAGTCACCATAAATAGACGGAGCAATACTGGCAGCCAGTTTCTCATACAAATTTGGATCTCTTGCCATTTCATGAAATTTTTCCTCTTCAGCAGGTGAGAATGTTGCTTTTGCTCGACCAGCGCCTTCTTCATCAATTTCGATGCCCACTACACGTAAATAAAGCGTACGAATGGCAACAGCTCCGATGTTTTTACTTCCTGCGTTTACAACCGACGTGATACCAATTACTGACACGCGTGTTCCCGGAGATGCTCGATCCACCAAGTGACGATCAGCAATGAGCGCTAAATTTCTGGGCATTTCGCCAGTTGGCACCACCTCTGGATTTTCTTGTAATTTAAGCGTCTGCTGATCCACGTATTGACCTTGATCAGGCAAAACTATGTACGAGTCTTTTGGACATACATCACCTGGTGTTAAAGCATTCTCTTCCTCTCTACTACGGTCACACATGCGAGGAATATTGACACCTCCCATACCAGCAGTAGCAACACGCTTCGAATGACCACAATTACGACACTTTAATGTGGCCGACACGCATTTGGTTCGAACGCGAGTGGCGCTAATGACAATACCTGGCACTTTAATGAGTCGATTAATTTCTTGCGAGTGGACGTGACGAATTGCCACTGGTGCTTGGTCACTACTTAAAATTGCTTGAATGTCGGGGAGATTGGAAAAAGATTCATAAATTGCCGAGTCAGGCGCGCCTGACTCCTGACTGGTCACGAGTAATTGGGTCAACGTCTCTTTAGCTGCATTCTCGAGAAGAGAGAGCTTTTCTTTTGGACTATTAAGCAACAGATCTTGTAACTCTTGGTCATATGCTGCGACGTGTGAGAGATTGACGTTCACGAACCAATGATTGCGTCTGGCGTTGGCCAGAAGCTGCTCACGATAGTAAAATAAGGGACCTATGCGGAATCCACGTAGGAAAGCTCGCAAACGATGTTGCAAAGCTGCTGGACTTGCGCTTTGACGTGCATTTGATGCTTGTGCGCTCTCCGTGCCAACAGCAGTCACATGCCCGGCATCCCAGTCCATAATGTTAAGTTGGATGGCAAGCTGAAATGCGGCAAAAAGAGGAGACGCGCCAGTCTATGTAACTGGGATGGTGTAAATACCACAATCCTGTCAAAAAAAAGCGGATATGAATCATTGCTCGCAGTTTGCTATTTTCCATTTAAATCAAATGGCTGCCAAGTATCAGATCGTATTAATTCGCCACGGCGAGAGCCAATGGAACGTAGACAACCGCTTCACCGGCTGGCACGACGTTCCCTTGTCGAAGAAAGGAGAACAAGAATCGCATGACGCGGGTAAGGTGCTCAAGGCAGCGGGTTTTACCTTCGATATTGCCTACACTTCGGTTCTCAAGCGTGCGATAAAGACGTTGTGGAATATTCTGGAGGAGACTGACTTAATGTGGATTCCTGTCTTTCGGTCGTGGCGTCTCAATGAGCGTCATTATGGATCTCTTACAGGTCTTAACAAGCAGGAGACGGTGAACCAGCATGGCCTTGAAAAGGTGATGATCTGGCGTCGTAGTTACGCCACGCCGCCCCCTCCTCTTGACGCCGAAAGCGAGTACTATCCGGGTAACGACCCAAAGTACTCGGACGTATCTAAAGAGCTGCTTCCCTTCACGGAGTCGCTAGCTACGACTGGTGAGCGTGTGCTGCCGTACTGGGAACAAACCATCATTCCGTCTATAAAGGAAGGAAAAAAGATTGTGATTGCCGCTCACGGTAACTCACTTCGTGCTCTTGTCAAGCACTTGGATCACATACCGGAGGACACAATTACAGGTCTTAACATTCCGACGGGTGTGCCTCTTGTCTATGATCTGGACGAAAACTTTAAGCCCGTGCCACATAAAGACGCGATCGCTCCTTTGTCGGGCTATTATGTCGGTGACCAGGAGCAGATTTTGGCGCGTATTGCTGGTGTGGCCAATCAAACCAAAGCCTAAAAAACCATTTCCGTATTCAATTTAAAGGGTTAAAACTGAAATGTGATTCATACACAAATATATCGTTTCTTCGCAACTATTCTAAAATCTGCTAGTTTTTGCGTACAACTCGGATATGTAAGCCCAAATGATTTCATGAGCACAGTATTGTATATTATTGAATATTTTTGTACTCTACAGACGCTGTCCAAGAAAAGGCAAAATTAATCTTAGCGCCAACAACCGGCTGCTCACTACTTTTTGAAGTGCTCCAATTTGATCGCATTGTCGACCACTCCCATGATGCACTTACTTGGGGATAAACTCGCTATCAGTGTCCGAATTCTCTGAAAAGGAATTTCGATGAGGTGACATCATTAGAGCACGAAAAACAAGTAGTCACTTTGGCGTCCACACTTGGCACCTTAGCTTCTTCTCAATCTTACACGCACTGCAAATAGATCCACTGCACACATATGCGGTCAAAATATTCGGCGTGTCGGTGGCTTAGTCAACCCTAGTGACAAAAAACTACCGTCCGGATTTCGATGGCTTGGACCACTTTTGTATGATAAAGTTTGGATGTATGAAGGTTAGGTCGAATCAGGCATAGTACTGATGACGGAGCAGAATGTATTCTTGGAAAACCCACGGAGCTACTGTTCAGCGATAGTTTTGGAGACCATTTACCAAAAAGTCTTTCTCCTCAAATCACCAACATTAAATACCAATCGCACAATTATAGTATGCACCAGCAAATGTGGATCGGTTGAAAAGTGAAGCATGAAGCCTAAATTATTCAATCTGTGTACCACAAGGACAAATGCGCGGAGGTGCTGCGATTTATGCAACGTCATCACTGATCGGTATTTAAAAAAATAGCTTAAAAAAAGTAAGTTTGAAAATGTGCCGAAATGCGTGGTTGTCAAATTTAAAGTCACACACACCTCATTTCTGCCGATATAAAAGTGTAAGAAAATGTATTCATTCAAATGATTGGTCGGGTGCAAAAGTATGGCTACTTGTAGCCACTTTATGACTAAAAGTGTGCCTGTTCGGAGATGCACCCCGTGCAGAAGAAAAGAAAGGCTTTGCCCGCGCGCGACCTCGATACCAGCCAGGGTAGATGTTCTACGTATCGAAGACACAGGGCTCATAGAGCGGAAAATGTTTCAAGTTTTTTCTTAAGGAACGTAAAGGTGTCTCAGACACGCGAGCCTCGTATGAGGCGGCCGTTAAATGTGAATGGAGGATATTCACACTTTTAATGGAGGAGAGTGTAACGGGGTTACACGTACCCTTGAATGAAAGGAAGGTCGCACAAGATGGTGCGGCCGTACATATGTGTGAATTACACAAGTAAGTGTAATCACACAGTGGTGTGGCTACACCGTAACAAGAAGCCACAACGTGGCAGGATTGCCAGTATTAATGCATATAACTATATAATTTAGGTTGTGCTACATAAAATTAGATATTATTTTATTTATTAGGAGAACCTAGGGCTTTGAATATGCCGCAACTAAAACAACTAAATACAGTTTCAATATGAGCAGAAGTGTTCGTTCGCCTTTGAGGTAGCAGATCGCGATCCGCTACACTCGTACTGGCTCTTGGACAGATCGTAAGGTCTCTGACCTTAGCTTAGCTTCCTCTAAGCAAAGAGCTGCGGCAGCCCCGCTGCAGACGATCCAAATTGACTGAAGAACAAGCATTCGAACGATCACAATGGATTCAAAAACAATTTGCAACTCAAGAAAGAAATTCTCGAATCACGTCGACACAAAGTATCAGATGGCGGACATACTTACCAAGGCACTCGGGACTAAGACGCTCAAGTTTCTACGCAACAAGACAGGCATTAAGATGCTAGAATCAAAGCAAACACAAGATTAGCGGTAAGTGGGAGTGTTAAAATAAAACGCTGAATGTCGTCACAAGTGTTACAGTAATGGATACAGTTTTTCATGATTACAGATAATCATTACGGACATAGTGGTAGTCATTCGTTGATCTAGATAAATAAGGTTGCTTGTAGAAGCTTTTAATGTGATCTTGACGGATAGGCTTAGATGTAGCACACTGAGGACCCAAATACATTCACTTTGGTTTTGACCAACAAACCAACACGCTTGTAGTCGAAGAAGTCGACGATACCTGAAGTGCATGCTTAATAACACAGCACCCAATATCAAAAGGTTCTGTCCGTTTCCACAATATGATTTAGATATACGGTCTTACATACTGCGATAATGGGCAATTATCAGTGCCGTAGTTTATTGGCAACTGGGTATCATCTTGAGCTTTTCGACCTGGCGTCATGATGAATTTGGTGCTCAATTCATGGAGAGAGAAAACGGAACATAAAAAACGCTTTTGTCTCATTGGATGGCTCTGTCGTATGTGTCGGCTGTCAATGCTTCTTTGGTTTGGTGACATGAAATTGGTGCGAATCGAGCTACAACCCCAACACTTAAATCGAGTCTCCGTATCTGCGTATCCGACGAGCGCTCTTAGACTGACTACTAAGCCTCCCAGATAAAGGAGACTGTATAAATATTTCGATTTACATGAAAAGTTCTCTCTCTACTATCTTTATGAATGCTCAGATAATCCTTTATTCAAAGACGAAGACACCTACCAAAGCCAATTGTTTAATAAAGTGACGCAACACAGTTGTTTTAAACCGTATGCCCCGACACCTACACCATCCGCTTTGGATGACACTAGACGAGGCTACGCTACCCCGTGAAAAGATCGGCAAGATGATAAAATGGACACGTTCGACGTTCACAGAAACCGTCATTGCGTACCTTCTTAAGTATTTGACGCAAGCAACTAAAGCATATCTGCAGTGCGCTATCCGTGAACACCCGATTCCGTCGTGGGAGATTTTCAGATCTGTTAGGACAGTGAGTTGATTTTTTCACCTATATGAAGAGAGTACATTGATTTCTGATGACACACTGTTGCTGAATGGCACAGATATAAAACAAAGCCCTAGATTGTTGATAATCATCTTCATCGAAGAAATAAACCGTTTCAAATAGCTGAAATACACAACGGCCTAAGGACAGTGAGTTGATTTTCCACCAATATGAAATTTCACTTTGATTTCTGATGGCACACTGTTGCTGAATGGCACAACTATAAAACAAAGCCCTAGATCGTTGATGATCATCTTCATCGAATAAACAAACCGTTTCAAATAGCTGAAATACACAACGGCCTTCGCCAAAGCGTTTTCACGGTGAAGAAATTGGTCCGCGCGATATAGAAGATAGTGCTTCACAAACCTGTCCGCTCCAGTTCTGAGCCGGTTGTTCAGAGCCTATGATAATAGTGTGCTTTTTTTTTGATCAGCGTTGATGAACAGAAAGAATATGGGACAAAGCTCGCATTGCAACTGCGTACTGCCTCGCAGCTAGATCATATTGTAATTGGTTCAGCAATCGATCCAATGTGTAGTACTTGTTGGTAAGAAATGTGCTTCATAAAAGAAGCCTTTTAACGATTACCGCAGCTAAAAGCTGGAATAACGGCAATGGCTTCTCGCAGCGGCTTCAGAATTTAATTCTAAAGACTGCTGTTCAATGACGAAGAATGCTTTTGCTTAACATGGATGTGTCTAGCCAAAAAATTTCGCGGTTCCTCTCGTACGTAAAAAAGTTCAGTATTTACCTTCTACCCTTGCGTCGTCCGTGCTGCCGCTTGATTCTCATGTATCACGTTCATTCCAGGCTCTATATCGAGTCGTAGGCTTGATTGTGCTCAGGTGCTATTGAGTGTGAGGAAGCTGCATGTAGTTGGAGCTACTTAGTGCTGGTAGCTGGAGTGACAGAACGTCCGAAAACGTACTTAATTGCTGGAACTACTTCAGTGGTCATCCGAAAACATTAAAACGAGATTGGCATGGCCCCTGCGCAGGTATGACACGCATCAATCAAGAGGTATTGTACGTAACTGCTTGAGGATTGTAAATGCAAAATTACAAGTCGAGAAACGTCAAGCAGGGAATCGACGGAAATGATGGTAGAAAATAATGACCACAAAGTACTACCGGAATATGCAGACGAAAAATTGACAATCTGACATACACTGGTAATAACAGCAGTGCAATTATATATTATAATAGTGAAAGTCAAGATGAAGCCCCTGGAATACCGGAATCAGTAGTGTTCAGGCACTGTGTAAGCTTTTGGATTTTCTTCTTTAGTGCAACGTAGATACACAGCGCGAGGCCACTATCGGCTGCCCAAGCTGTACAAATGGAGCACATACGACCTCGCGTGTTAAACCCTCTCCGAATGCGGCGCAGCCGCTAACCAGTTTACCGGTAACCTCCGGGTGTTGGCTATCCATGAGTATGGACTTTGTGCTTGGACTCGGCGGAGTGGTCTTTATGGACCTTATGAGCATAATGGCTCATTGCGCGTATAATGATGGAATATGGATCTTGTCGTTTGACAACATGGACTCCGGGAGTCAATTGTCTCTGATAGAGACCCACGATACACTGGGAAGTTTTGACTACAAACTTCAGGGTGCTGGGCACCAAGTTGGCTATGTCAACAGCAGATCATTTGCAGACCGATAATCAGACTGAGCGCGTAGATCGCGGTGTTGAAGACGTTCGTTGCAGCGTCTGCGCTGAGACGCCGAAGCGCTGGAGCGCCATGCTGCCACTCAAGAAATTTGCGATGAACATTGCAGTGTATTCATCTAACGGCTACACGCCGTTCTACGTAAACGGGCTTGTTAACCCTCGCGTCCCACTGACGCCGCCTTCCCATGGTTTAGTATTTAATGGGGGAAAGCCGCGCGGCTAGCTGATGTCGGCCCTTTCACTGTGCGAAAATGGCGATGGCTTCCTGTCTATCAGACTGAGTGTCTTACGACACGTCCGCGATGCGATGGCCGAAAGCCAAGTCATACAGAAAAACTATGCAGACGGAAGAGGGAGAAGAAATGCTAAAAACATCGTTTTACAAAATGCTAAAAACCTTTTTTCACATGTAGTTTCAGTTGTCTTTAAGACGAAGCTTCGTCCACGGTGTATTGAACCTTTTTAAGGTCGTGATCAAGCGAGGTGTTGCGTATCGGTGACTGAGTCGCAGTGCGTAAGGACGTAAGATCTGTGTCGATCACGAACGACTTTGTGCCAAGCAGTTGTACTCTGAACTTGATAAGTGCATACTTTACCGCAAGTAGCTTCGTGTCGTGCACTGAGTAGTTCTTCTCCGCAGCTTTAAGCTGGCGAGACTC